GCAAATGCAAAAAGGGGAACGGAGCTGGGAGAGGGCTGCTTGCCTTCTGCATGGCACAGCAGGAATGCCTCTATGTGCACTTTTGTTGAGATTGCAGAAGGTGAACAAGGATTTTCTCCTGCATTTAGCCTCAGTTTTATTTCATCTGAGGGGATCTCTCTTGGAAGCTGGGGCAGCTGGAGCTCAGCCCCGTGCTGAGCTGTGGGCTCTACATGCAGCTCTGAAGGAAAAGCCACATCCCTCTTGTGATAAAAGTCAAACTGTACCTAAACTAATCTAAGTTGGGATGCTACAGTCAAGCATCGTGAAGAAGGAGAGTTTCATGAATTAAAGACCTTGATATCCTGCCAGCACTGGCAGGTTATAGAAAGATTTAGGGAATCTCCTGTCTCTGCCAGGGAGGTTTTGGTCATTTTTACAGTGTGTGCTGGGTGTACAGGAGGGAGGGAGCCAGGCTGCAGTGGCTCTCAGACTGCACGTGTCCTGCAAAGCCGCAATTTTCCTGTGGCATCATGTGCCATAAGGACTCAGCTGGTCCAGCCCCTGGTCCTCTGCTTGGTGAGGGACTTGCGTAGATGATTACATGGAAAACCAGCAGAGGAGAAGAGCAGTCTGCACAACGGACAGAAAGGCCAGCCCATGGCTGCTGCCCCTCGCCCCTGTGCAGGATGGTGGCTTTCTCTTCAGAAGAGGGTTGGAGACCTGGGGATGTGCATGGACAGGGTCTTGCAGCAAAGGGAAGGGGATGGAGAGGACTGTGGATGTGTGGAGAGGGAAAAATGGGATCAGGGAGATGGGAGATGAATTGATATTGCAGGAGGTGACCCCCCTGCATCCGCATCTGGCCCCAGAAGCCCAGCAGAAGCCACCTTCAAGCACTGAGATGAGCAGTGTTGTAGCTCCCATTGTTTCCCATGCTGGGGTTCATGCTGCTGCCTCCCAGGCTGCCTATCTTGGGATGCCTGTGCTGTGGGACACGTGCTGTGCTGTGACATCTCCAGTGGCATCATCCAACGTGAAGGCCGCTCCTCCCTTCCTGTGATGATCCCGCTCCTTACTTACAAAACGGACACTGATGCAACCCCACGCATGTCCCACACCCGGGCCCCACTTGGCACAGCCTTCCTGAGACCGAGGAAACAGCTGCCCTCCCCATCCTTTCCAGCCCACAGGAGACCTTCCCATCTTCCATCCCAAGACCACGATCATGGAGAGGTCACTTTTGTCCCTTTTCTGAGCCCCGGCTGGGGAAGGGGATACAATGCTCTCTTCTTTCTTCCTAAAATGGGAGTCTTCCAGCTACGATCCGAGCACCGTAATCCTGCTGAGAGCTCCTGTTTTGGGACTAATGATGCCCAGATGGGAAAAAAAAAATCAAGCCAAGTCCTCCCTAGTATTCCTGTGTCATCTTTTGCTAGATATCAGCTGCCTGTGTTCCCTGGCTGCTTTCCCCTGTATTAGCTTCATCGTCCTTGTCCTCACCAGCCCTCCTCTCCGTTGAGCTGTGCCTGTTTAACCCCTTGGCTCCCACTTCTTTCCTTCCTCTCTCACTGCTCTCTCAGGACCTGTGGTCCCTTTGCAGCATCTTCTTCATCTTCTCCTACCCCGGGGGCAGCCGTGGGGATCATCCCTATCCTGCCCTGTCCTCCCAAATCCTTCCCCAGACCCACTCCTGCCCTTACATCTCACAGGAGGCAGCAGGCGGGTGCAGGACAGGCTGGGAGGCCGCCCAGCATCACTTGATGCCAACACACCTGGCTCATGCTGAGGGCCGTAACGCAGGTGGGTCCCACCTTGTTAGTGCTGCTTGGCTTGGGTAATGAGACTCCTCCACATGCATCTGAGGGGCAGCAGAACCCAGAGGACCAACAGCAAGGAAGAAATGGCCTTTGAGTGTTGTATGTAATAAGTGCCACTGTGCAGGGTTTGCTCGCAGCCCAGGAGGGAGGTACCTGGCAGATAACTCCCTGTGTGGAGTCAGGGGGTCCTGACCTGACACAAAACTGAAGATTTTCTGATTTGCTGGGCACAACTATGTTTGCAGTGTAGCTGAGGGCCAGGTGTTCTGCACCTCTGCCTCGCTCCAGGTTCCTGGGCTGAAACGTGCCCTCTAAGAGGAAATGCAAAAACAGAGCTGTGTTGGATGCACTGCAGGTGAGACACGCAGCAGCAACAGAAAGAGGCTACACTTTATTTCTGAACTGGCATCAGGGAGCCAAAATCTAATACCCACCAGTGTCTCGTGACTCTGCAGCCCAGCTCGGGGTTGCTAGAGATCTCTTGTCACAAGAATGGCTGCAATCCCAAGAAATAACATGTGAGATTTTGCATGGTCCTATTGCTAGCCCCTGGGCAGCTGGTAGAAGAGGATATTTCTAATTCTCTTTATAGGATTTTAGATGCACAAGAGAAGCAGAGCACATCAAAGAGGAATGAATGCTGTAATTCCCTTGAAAGGTCGGGGCTTTTTACAGAGCTCTTTATTGCTGCTAAGCTCTTTAGGGAACGCTGTATTCTGTCTACCGCAGACTTGGCCGTGATAGTAAGATATGCAATGCCCATCCATCCCTATTACTATTTCAGTCCTCGGCTAATGACCCGGATCCTCAAAGGCTGTTAAGTGCCTGATTTCATTTGAAAACACCGGGAGTTTGGCATTTAAATCTTTAATGCCCCGCGTAAAAGCCTGCCCTGCAAAAGGAGATGTGCAGAGCCCGGTCTGGTTTCATGGCAGGGACTACAAGCCTTGCAGTTGGGTTAGCAGAAATGGGTATGCAGAGAAACACCACGAGGGACTGAGTTGTGCTGGAAGGAAGAAAGCCAGAGCCCTGCTCTGCTGTCTCTGCGTGTATTTAATGGTATGTGGAATTACTCAGGTCACCTGCGGGGCCTTTCCTGCTGTCTCATGGGGGCTTTGGTTGTGCCGTTCTCATCAGAGAAAGGGCAGGCGGGGTAGGACTAGGATTACTGCAGTCCCCATCAGTGATCACCGAAAGGCAAGAAGATACCCAGAACAGATGGAGGGAGCAGGTAAGGGTCAGAGATGTGGCTCCATCCTCCAGAAACGTGGAGGAGAACTGAGGGTGGCTTTGGCAGCACTGGGAACTGGCAGGTGCCCACCAGAACGGTACCATTTGGAAATCATTTCTGATGACAGCTGAGGTTTTGGAACTGTTTTCAACAGCATGCCCATTGATATGAGCAGAAACGTCTTGTCTTAAATAGGAGTATAGAAATGTAGCAGAAGGACAGAAATGGAGCAACTGTTGCACTCTGAGGAAAAAGGGGATGTGTTAGTAACATGGACTAAGCAGGCAGACAGTGTGAAAAATTGCTGAAAAATAGGCTGGCTGGGGCCTGCTTTAGCCTCTTGCCATTTTTTTGGAGACTGTCCTTGATAAAGAATGAGTTTCTGGTTTGGATCTGAGGGAAAATGAAGAGGGACTGCTGGAAGCTCTGGATAAGGCAGCAGATATTATAAAGTGAAGATGATTGTCCTGTCCCAGCTGGGCCTTATAGGGAGTGAATGATACTGAATTCAGTCTATTCTTACAGCAGAACTAAGAGCCTGTTCTGAGACTTACAAATCTAAGCAAAATATCACAGAGGTTTTATGCTGTCCTCAAATGAACAACTGCACTGCAAAAGATGCTAAGGCATTGCTGTATAAGGCAAAATATTGTTGACTGCAAAAGAAAGGGAGGTGTGAAACTTTAGCCTGTTGGGATAAGGAAACTGAAATAAGCTGTGCACTTAGCCTGCACTTTTGTTCCTGTTTCTCTTAGATAGTTTTGGCAAAAAGTCAGTACTGCTAACGGCCCTGTGCTGGGAAGCCTGTCTTCATTACGAGTAGTTTATGTGATATGGAAATGCCTGTGAGCGTGTGCAGGACGGTGGGTGCGAGCTTCAGTGTGTAACATATTGCCCCCAGGTCAGGGCTGGTGGAAAATGGGGGTAAAAATGTGGTTAACCTGGCTGGGAAGTTGGACCCTGATCCATGGTACAGTGTAGACTAGAATATTTACCCAGCGTTGTGGAGGGAATAATGTGCCCAACCTCTTTAACCTCATGTAACCCTTAACCAACGGTCTTAAATCATCCAAGGGACATTATACTGGGATGAATTTTGACCTAGATTCTTTTCCTTTCCTTTGAAGCATCAGTATTTAAGCGACTGAGAGGGTGTATTGATAGTGGGAATTAGGATGGCAAGGCCTCATTTCACAATGTGCCAGGAAGGGAAGTCGAGCAAAGGTAGTATAGGATCACAGTCTGGTTCTGCTTTTCATCTTGGATGCTTTTCAAGAAGAGAGTACGAGTACAGAACAAGAGAGTGCTGGAAAGCACGTCCATTTTCACAGCTTTTTTCTATTTTCACCTGCAGTTTAGGGGATTTAGTGATCCAAAGGAAGGTAGAACATATCCCTAACTCCTCCACAAGCCCAGACAGTATGCAGGAAAATATATACCCATATGTATTTTTTCATATAGTTAAAGTAGTAAGAGGAGTCATTATGGCTTAAAGTTATCATCTTTCCCCTGAGAAAGATTGAAAACAACTGAATAGCTGCAGATTATAGGCAGGTTAGAGAATGTTGTGTCCCACTTTGCTGGCATGTAAAGTCTTTGTATTGAAAATCTCTGGAAACAACTCTGTTATTCTCTACTCTTAAGCACATGCCCAAGGCATGACAGCTTTCATAGAAAACAAAGGGATTTACTGCTTTCTAAATCATCCTAGGATGAGCGTCACATTACAGTGTCAAACAGGAAAAGAAAACCACGGTAAGGAATTTGTTGCTAACAAAATGTCTGTATTAAAATACAAAGAAAACATTCCTATTTGGAACAGTAATCAAAAGACTCTCATTTGTATTGGTACTAACAACACTGCAAGTTCTTCTTTCCAGATAGACCATAATGCTCTTGAGGATTAAATTCCACCATTGTCATTTTGAACATCATCTTAAAAAAAAAAAAAAAAAAGAGGTCAAAGACAATAGTGCCACACAACCTGGCAATATTCCAGCATCATTACACTGGCTTACTGCAGCATGTCCCATCAGAAGAGGCTTAGATCTGGGCATTGCTTGCTGACGGCAAGCTCAGAGGGCTTCCTATTGTGTTTGAGAAGGCAATGATTGCGTTGGAGCCCTTGGTGTTCTTGTTCATGCCCAGGATGTCCACGCTGGTTTGTTCTGGCTCGGTTTTCCTGAAGATGTTTTTCATGGTGGACTGAAAGTTGTTGGTGACGAAGCAGTAGACGATGGGGTCCATGCAGCTGTTGAGGCTGCTCAGAGTCACTGTCACGTGGTAGACAATGAGGCTGACGTCATGGGGCATGTCTGGGTTGATGGAGATGGCGACCTGTCGCACGTGGAAGGGAGTGAAGCAGATCATGAAGATGATGAGGACAGTGATAAGGAGCTGCACGGCCCTCATCCTTCTCTCCCGACTCTGGTGCATGAGGCTGGGTTTGGACAGAGCACACATAATCCTGGTGGTGAAGAAGATGATTATGATGAGAGGGAAGAAGTACTCGCAGACCATCAGGGCCAGGATCTTGGAGAGGCAGCACTGGGCAAACTGTATTGCCATGCTCAGGATGGAGAAAGTCACCACGGTTGCAAAGATCCAAATGAAGACACAGATGCCCTTGGCACACGTGGGGTTCCTCCATTTGCGTGAAGCCTCCACGGGCACGATCGCAAGATAGCGGTCAACGCAGATGCACGTCAAGAAGAGGATGCTGCAGTACATATTGACAAAGTAGCCAAAGATGTGGACCAAGGAACAGTGCAGGCAGTCCCCTGCACTATAGAACATGATGAGCCGGACAGGCAAGGAGAAGCCCACCAAGAGATCAGTAACTATCAAGTTGATGGTGTAGATAACAGAGGTGGTTTTTGTCTTGGTACGGAAGCAGAAGACGTACAGTGCCAAGCTGTTCAGCACAACACCCACCAGGAAGATGATGACGTTGACCACCATCAGGGCAATCCACATGTTGTAAAATTCTTTGTACAGTTCTGTGTCTGGATGGATGAACTTGGAGAACAACTGGAGGCTGGAGTTGGTTCCCTGCGTAGAGTTGATAGAGTCAGGGACTGACAGGTGGGTAGGGGAGGTCGGCATGGTTGCTGATTTTCCAGAAATCTGCAAGAAAAGAAACAGAGACATTGATGTGTATGTCAGCAATCCCTTAGGCTCAAAACATTGTCCCTAAAAGCATTTTAACCAATGTATTTGCACATCCTCGGTGACGATCTATATTGCTGTAGTTTCTGAGCCTTTCCCCTGCCAATATATTAAGTGGCAGGCTGAGTTTACCAGTAATTGCCTACAAAATACCTGGTTTTATAGCATCGTTCTGTGCTTCCAGCTGGGTGTTTCTAGCCGTGTGGCAAATGGCCCAAGGATGTAAATGGGGTTGCTGAGGTCAAGCAAGGTGCATTGCTGCTCACGGAGGGCACTGCATGATTCCTGTCCTGGCAGGGAGGATCGAACTCATCGGGGGCTCCTAATAAGTTTTGTTTTCTGAACATGGCCCTTGCTCTGCTGATTATCATTAGAGCAGCCTCTTCCCAGCTGAGCACTCTCTGCCCTACCATGGGAGCAGCGTAGTGCTGGCAGCCAGAAGATATTTTCCTGACTTCATGGTACAACTGTAGCCCCATCGTCACTCCTAAAATATCCCATCCCTTCCTCTATCCAGGTGACGGCACAAGAATCATGTGCAGCAGCATTTTTAGGAACTGTGAGACTTGCCTAAGGGCAAAGTATGGCTGCATTTTCTAAGGAATCGTGAGCAGGTTGTGTGGCATCTTCTAGAGATTTGCAATCACAGCAACAGCAGCCGGGAGATTTCAAACCAAGGGCGTCAGCTGCTACTCCTGCCAGGGTTTGACAGTTTAATTTGCAAATCATTCCTGACTTATACACTATTTAAAACTGATTTGTATATTAGAAAGATAATAAAAAAGCTCAACATATACAGAGACTTGGCTGGTTTCAATAAAAATAAATGGTTGAAAAATGTCTGGAATATCTCAAAGTGGCTGAGCAGGACTATGAGGTTAAAAAAAATCAGCTTGAATCAGCAGAGAATGATGTTGAAAGGCCTGAGTTATGAGGGTTTGAAATGCCGGCTACCAAAGAGCCAAGTGCAGAAGGGCCAGGAGACAACGAGCTGCAAGAACATCTTCCAGCTCACAGAAAACGTAGTGTGCCTGGGGTGCATGTCTGAATGGGGAAAGTTGAATTGCTAAAGGCGTCCGGATATCCAGCTTCTCTGCGTCCTTTGGCAGCAGACTCTCTGCCTGGACTAGTCATCTTTGCTGCTTCTGGGGCTAATGAGGATGGAATGATGCTGTCCTGTGGACTGCGAGATGCTTCAGGTTGATGGTGGCAGAGGAAGAGGCCAGTGAAAAGTGGCTCCACATGAGACTTTCTGCGGGCCAAAAGCAAATGTTCTGTGAGGATTTCCCTAGCTAGATCCAGGGAGGGTCACTACTGACCTTGGCCTGCCTGATGAGTGCCCAAGCCCACCTTTCCTGGGAAGCTGACCTTGGTCAGCTAATGAAAGGCCCTGCCCAAGCCCACCTTTCCTGGGAAGCTCCACCAGAAACCCTCGTCAGCTAATGAAAGGCCAATCTCTGCTGGCCATACTTCTCCAGCTCTTGGACTGCTCCACATCTCTTGACAGAAGTAGAAGGTTTACAGCTTTTTATAAAAAGTTGGGGAACTGAGATGTGGGAGAAGAGATTCCAAAGTCCCTGAGCCTATGGATTTTCAATAGCTGCAGCCTCTACAGTTCATGTCTGTAGAACAGACAGCTAGGGATTGTCGAAATATTTTTATTTCCAAATTTGAACAAGATCAAATGCAAGAACAAAATCAAATTCAAGAACTGAATCCTTAATGACTATAAGATTTTAAAACCCTCTGAAACATCCTGACCAGAGGCGTCCTTTAGCTTGGTTTAGAATTACGGTAGTAATCCAGGGAAAGAAAGAATTTTATAAGTGCAGTCACAGACTATTCATGGAGCATGTCTGAGAAATGCCTGTAGAAGATGAGTTTTCTTTTACTTTTCTTCTTCTTCTTGGCAGGAGAGGGCTATGAGCTTTCCAGTAGCATATGGGTTGAAGGTCTATGTTCCTGTCACACTATCCTTTGTCATTATGGGAACAGAGTCATAGGATTATAGTAGCACTGGCTGAAAGGGATCCCTGGGTCTAGTCCCACCTCCAATCTCCCTGCAATGTTCCCCTAGTCAAGAAGTTTTTCATCATGTCCAACTGGAACCTCTCAAACTTCAATTTCACAGAGTCACAGAATAACTGAGGTTGTCAGAGTCCTCTAGCGATCATCTAGTCCAACCTCCTGCTCAAGCACAGTTAGCTGGAGCAAGTTCCTCAGAACTGTATCTGGTCAGATTTTGAATATCTCCAAGGATGGAGATTCCATTACATGTCTGGTCAGCATTTCCAGGGCTGACCATCCTCACACTAAAAAAAAGTTTTTTTCTTATGTTCAGATGGAATTTACTGCATTTCAGTTTGTGCCCATTGACTCTTGTCCTGTCACAGGCGCCGCCAGGAGAGTCTGTCTCTGTTTACTCCCTCCCATCAGGGATTGATATACATAGATAAGGTATCTCACGAATCATCTCTTCTCTGGACTGAACAGTCCTAGCTCTTCTCATACAAGAGATGCTCCAGGCCCGTAGTCATCTTTGTGGCCCTTTCCTGGACTCTTACAATCTGTCCATGTCTTTCTTCCTGTGTGGAGTCCAGCATGGGCTGAGATTAGATTTCCCTCTCTTAGTCAAACTAAACAAGCCCAACTTCCCACCTGTCCTAGTAGGATATGTGCTCCAAACTGTGTCCTGATGCCTCTCTGCTGGACCATTTCCTGTTTTTCACCATGCTCTTGAGTGGAGAAGTCATAAACTGGACACCTCCCTACTGCTGAATTAATGGAGTTAATTTACACCTTTTTATGGAGCTACTGAATTCTATGTGTTTGGATCGATCATTGGCATGGCTGAGGCTCTTCCGTAAAGCCCCCCTTAGATCAAACCTACAGTTGGGTTAGGGGGTGGGATTGAAATGCTGGGATCAGAGCACCTGTAATGCTCCAAAGAACTGCTCATCAAACATGAGCGATCCTAACCCACAACCGCTTATGTACTTCTTAGGACATCTCTAGGAGAAACTGGACGCTGGAACATGTTGTGTTTCAGGAATGACTGGATTACCTCACTGCGCTGAACTCCAGTGGCAGCCAAAGTAGCGCACATGTTCACGTTATTTTGTCTGGGTCTGCTTGAGCCTGCAAACTCCTGGGGGAGAGTCTGGTCTCTTTACATTTTGTGCCAAGCATGCTGTCAGGGAATAACGGGAAAAGCTAGACCCAGGACTGGCTAAAGGTAGGAGAGTTGGAACATCTGGTACCTGAGAATGATGCATGGGGAGGGTGCAGAACATGGCTCATTTTCTAATGACTTTCTGATGATTTTTTTCAACATTTCACCCTCTCTGTTTGTTTGTTTAGCGCTTTAATTGCCCAATAACAAAAACAAATGAACAGATGCCTGGATCTGCTCCTAGATTGCCCTTCACAGATGCTGTCAAGGGGAACAATGTGGAAGCTTCTCTGCCCATGCAAACTGTGAAATAAAGACATTGCTGCTTCTTGAATGCAGCATGAGCCTGTGTAGCTGTGCTTATATGGATGGGGGAGCAAGTGGAGAAGACAAAATCATCTATCCCACCTTTTAGCAGATACTTGGGGGTGTTGCCCTGAGTGTGCATTTGTCTGTTTTCCTATTGTACTTCCGCAGTATTGACTATTCACTTTGATTTTACAGATTGTTATCAGCTTGTCTCCTCTGGGAGATTTTTCTTCAGCCTCAGATACCTTCTTATCAGGCCTACCTGACATTGGTCTTGCATTTTTCACTTTCTGCCTCAGCAAAATTAGTGATTTGAAATGCATTCAAATGTGCCTCACGCTCAGATTGCTGCTGAGGTGTGCAGGCCACTTTACAAACTAATAGCATATCATCTCCTATGAGTATTGCCTGTACACAGAAATAAAAATCATCAAGATATAGAATGTGCTGTTTATGTATTTGCCTCTCCCACTCAGTCCCATTTACAGTGAAATAAATCCTAGGTGTTTTATGCTGCTACAGAGCATCAGGTAGCATTTTGCCAGATTGAATATGCAGTGCTGAACTGTGTATGAGCTGGTATCTCTTTCCACCCCATGGCTGCCCTGCCTGGGCTCAAAAGCCAAGCAGTTACATGCAAGAAACCTAAACAAAATTAAGCAATTCTGAAGATTTCTCACCAATCGGCTATGAGCTGTCTCTTAGTTAGCAGTGCAAAAAGTCTTTTAATCAAATTGTTGCTGGTGGATTTGGGGGTGAATGGCCTTTTTTGCTTTCTTTTTGGCACTGCTCTCATCTCATGGTTCACAGTCAGAAAGGATGGAGGGCTGGACTGGCAACGTAATAGCATTCCTCTGAGCACTCTTAATGAGATGGAGCTGGACCAAACCCCTGGTTAACAGCTACTAAGTATTTTTCCATTGTGGGTCTCCAAGCACTTGACAAAGGTACTTTGCCCCATTTTACAGCGACCTGAGCAAGGCACAGAAAGGCATCGTGACCTCGTGTCCAAGGAAAAAGCAAACATTTCTACAGGTTTTCAATTACAACCTCTCCCATTTATAAGTCTGAAAAATCACATAGCCAGGTCTCTCTCCGTGATCAGAAATACTTGTGCTGGTGTTAAGTGGACCAGTTCAGCCACCCATAACAATGGAGTGGTGACACAGAGCAGTCAGTGTGGGTCATGGCTAAACATATGGGAAGCTTTTGCAGCCCTGGAGACCTCTGTTTTGTTATGAGCTCACTTCTTGTTATGGCTCCAGCTTGCAGCTATAGCATGAGCTGATGCAGAGCTATAGCAGCCACTGTCATATTTGCTTACAGAATGAATACTGCTGGTGTTGGCAACAGGGCTTTGGTTTCTACAACTGTGGGACCTTGTTTGACAATAGACAACTGATGAGGAGAGATGGGCCAGCCTGGTATGGAGGGCTTTAAACTAGGAAAGATGGAGGAAGAGACAGGATAGTCAGCA